TTACATTATACGAAGTTATACGATTTATGATAGAATTCTTGTATTTTCTATACATCTTAAAATTTAAATCTGTGGTTTCTTTTCTTCTCTCTCTCTTTTTAATTTGTTTTTCTTAATTGACCCATGATAATTTTATATATTTAGGGAGTACAATACCATATTTGGGTACATTTACACTGTGTACAATGATCATACCAGGGTACTTAGTATGTCCAGAACCTCAAACATTTGTCACTTCTTTGTGTTCGGACTATTCAATATCATCTTGACTAGCTACTCAAAGATGCACAGTACTTTATAGTTATCTGTAGTCTTCCTATATTACTATAGAACAGTAAATCCCATTCTTCCTATCTCTGCAATATCTTGTATCCACCAACTGCACTGCCCCCATCCCCCTTTCCCCCTTCCCCTTACCAGTCTCTAGTAACCACTCTTCTACTCTCTACTTCTATAGATCAACTTTTTTAGTTTTCACATATGAGTGAGAATATGTGGTATTTCTCTGTCTGTGCTGGCTTATTTCACTTAACATAATTTTCTCTAAGTTCATCCATGTTGCTGCAAATGGCAGAGTCTCATTATTTTTTTATGGCTCACTAATAGTCTATTGTGCATGTATACCCATTGTCTTTATCTAATAATCTATTTAAGGACATTTAGGTTGGTTTCAACTCTCGGCTATTGTGAATACAGCCACAATCAACCTGGGAGTACAGGTGTCCTCTCAACTTGTTGATTTCCATTCCTTTGGATATATACCCAGTAGTGGGATTCCTGGATCATATGGTAGTTCTATCTGTAGTTATTTGAGAAATCTCCATACTGTTTTCCATAGTGGCTGTACTAGCTTACATCACCATCAACAATATGTAAGAGTTCCCCTTTCTCTACATCCTCACCAGCATTTGTTACGTTCTGACTTTTTGATAATAGCCATTGTACCTGGTGTGCGATGAGATCTCATTGTGATTTTGATTTGCATTTCTCTGATGATTAGCAATGCTGAGCATTTTTTTTATACCTGTTGGACATTTGTATTTCTTCTTTTGAGAAATGTCTATTCAGCTCATTTGCCCGTTTTTAAATCAGATTATTTGTTTTTTGCTAATGAATTTTCAGTTCTTTGTGTTTTCTGGATATTAATCCATTGTTGGATGCATAGTTTGCACATATTTTCTTCCATTCTGTAGGTTGTCTTTTCACTCTGTCAATTATTTCCTTTGCTGTGCTGAAGCATTTTAGTTTGATATAATCCCATGTGTTAATTTTTGCTTTTGTCCTCTGTGCTTCTGAAGCACTATTCATGTTTCCTATGTTTTCTTCCAGAAGTTTAATACTTCCAAGTCTTACATTTAAATCTTCAATCCATTCTGAGTTGATTTTTTTATATAGTGAGAAATAGGGGCCTAGTTTCGTTCTTCTGCATATAAATTTTCAATTTTCCCACCTTCCTTTACTAAAGAGATGGTCTTTTCCCTGGTGCATGTTTTGATTCCTTTGTCAAAATTAAGTTGGCTGTAAGTTCATGGATTAATTTTTACATTCTCTGTTCCATTCCATTGGTATATGTATCTGTTTTTGTGCCAGTACCATGCTGTTTTGATTGCTATTGCTATGTTACAGTATATTTTGAAATCTGAGATTGTGCTTTCTTCTTTTTGCTCAAGATTGCTTTGGCTATTGGGGATCTCTTGTTGTACCATATAAATTTTCAAATTGTGTTTTCTATTTCTGTGAAGGATGTCATTGTTTTTTTGATGGCGATTGCATTGAATCTGTAGATCACTTTGGTTTATTTTGACAGTATTGATTTTTCTGTTCCATGAACATGAGATGTCTTTCAACTTTTTTGTGTCTCCCTTAGTTTCTTTAATCAGTATTTTATAGTTTTCATTGCAAGTATCTTTCACCTCCTTGGTTAAGTTTATTCCTAGGTATTTTTATTGTTGTTTCTATTGTAAGTGGGATAGTTTTTTTGATTTCTTTTTCTGTTAGTTTGTTGTTGGTGTATAGAGATACTACTTAAGTTTACACATTGATTTCTGTATCCTGCACATGTACTGAATTTGTTTACCATGTCTAGGAGTTTTTTGGTAGAGTCTTTAGGTTTCTCTCTATGTAGAATCATGTCATATGCAAACAGGGACAACTTGGCTTCCTTCTTTCCATTTTGGATGCCATTTATTTCTTTTTCTTGCTTAATTGCTCTGGCTGGGACTTCAGTACTATGTTGAATAGAAGTGGTAAGAGTGGGCATACATGTCTTGTTCCAGTTATTAGGGAGAAAGTTTTCAACTTGTCGTTGTTCAGTGTGATGTTGGCTGTGAGTTTGTCATATTAGCCTTTATTTTATTAAGATATTTTCTTTCTATAGATGTCTGTCATTTTTAATTAGTAGTTAATTGTGCTAGCTTTGATTTTTGCTTTAAGCTTATAACTTATTTCAGTAAGGCCCATAGACAAAAGTACCTATCAAATATTTGGCTGAATAAAGTGAGAGCAAATGATCAATACTGAATCAAATCCCTAAAGAAGGCATATTGCAATTTTTTAAGTTTCTTGATTGTAAAGGAACTTCTCACTACCACAAATATACCATCAAATTGAAGAATATTATTAATTAAATATTCTGAAATTATCCAAATAAAATTAGAGCCCTCAAACTATATAAGTGTTTATTAAACAATCTACAATCATGATTTTTACATTTTGAATTATATAAAAACATTTTTGTCTTTTATTTTCCTATATGAACAACTTAAGAAAAAAAACATGTTTATATCCAGCAATGAGGTATCATATAATACAATTCTTAAACAATGTGATGGCAAAGTGCCACCTAAAAAAATTTAATCTATCACAAATAATTTTGTATTTTTTAAAAAAATAAGTAAAAATTAATAGGTATAAAATTAAAAATATTTTCAAAATACAGAGCCAGAAATTTTATTTTTGAGGAAAAGAAACAGAATTATGTCAAATGCATATAAAAATTTTAAATGATTATTTTCAATTTCTACACTCATCTCTTTGTAGAAAAGAAAAAGCAGTTCAAAGCATGCGATGAACAACTGGTCTGAGAAATATCATTTTGTCATTTTTGATAAACACAGAAAGATATTCCATAAAACAGTGGAATACTGTAATTAGAGTATAAGTTGTAAGTCTACATTAACTTTTCCAGGATTTCTCTTAAAATGATTTTTTTTCAATTTTGGATTTTAAAACTATATAAATTTATATCAAATCAGAGATTGCCAGAGGTGAGATATTTGAGGAGATGTTCAAGTGTAAAATGTCATAAGTTAAATTTTTGACATAGAAGACATCTATATATGCTACATATGATATATGGCTATATGTATTTTTTTAATATGTATGGCTATTTTTCAAAACTCACTGAGTTGTAAATTTTAAATTGGTAAATATTATTGTATGTAAATTCTACCTCAACATAATTTATTTTAAAAACATAACTATGTATATTTTATAACTTAGATAATTAAAAATCAAGATTTCTTTCTTTTTAATTAGACAACACATCTGGAGAACTTAATGGATAGGGTAGTATTTTCTAGTTTAAGTTCAGATTGTATATTACGAAATATCACTTCATCTTCATACAGAAAGTAAGGAAGGGTTTATCAGCACTACAACTTAACCAACTGACTTAACTGGCCACCCCAAGGATAAGGTTAAAAGAAAAGTTTTCATGAAATTACTAATGATTTATCCTAGGGTATAGGCACTCAAAGTGTTAAAACTATCCAGTCAAATTTTAACATCGGTTTTTGAGACAGTCCATTCATTCTACGAAAGGCATGCAGCCCTGGAAACATGCTTCCTGTCAACAGCACCAGCTCCGTCTTCTCCACCTTCCTGGTGACAGGCATCCCTGGACTGGAGGCTGTGCACATCTGGATCTCCATCCCCTTCTGTGCCATGTTCTTCATCACCTTGGTTGGCAACATGACCATCATGACAGTTATCTGGAGGGAAAAGACCCTCCACGTGCCTATGTACCTCTTCCTGGCCATGCTGGCTGCCTCTGATCTGGGTCTGTCCCTCTTCACCTTCCCCACAATGCTGCGGATCTTCTGGCTGGATGCTCGAGAGCTGACCTTTACTGCCTGCTTCACTCAAATGTTCTTTATTCACACCTTCCAAGATTTTGAGTCAGCCATCATACTGGCAATGGCCTTTGACCGCTATGTGGCCATTTCTCGTCCTTTGCACTATTCTTCCATCCTCACCAATAGTGTAATTGCCAGGATAGGTTTGGCTATTGTAATGCGAGCTATGATTGCACAGGTACCGCTCCCTATCCTCTTGAGAAGGCTGTGCTTCTGTCATTCCAATGTACTCTCTCATTCCTACTGCCTGCATCCTGACATCCTAAAGCTCTCCTGCTCCAACACCAGGATCAACAGCGTCTTTGGACTTTTTATGGTGCTCTCGAACATGGGAGTTGATTTTCTACTCATTCTCCTGTCTTATGTGCTGATTCTGAAAACTGTACTGAGCATTGCTTCCCACAGTGGCTGCCTCAAGGCACTGAACACCTGCATCTCTCACCTCTGTGCTGTGGTCCTCTTCTTTACCCCCATGATCTGTCTGTCTATACTTTACCGCATTAGCCGAAGGCTTCCCCAAAACATCTACACACTCTTGGCCAACATGCATTTCCTCATTCCTCCTGTAATGAACCCCATTGTGTATGTGGTTAGAACCAAGCAGATACAAGACAAAATTCTAAAACTCTTCATCAAAAAAGAAACTGATGAGTCTTGAGCAGCATATACAACATAAACCTTGGAAAACTGATATAACAGCAAATGGCCACTCTTCAAACTTTTCCTACTGACATGACTATTATTTGTCTCTCTCTGTGTGTATAGGAGACAAAGAAATAAATGTCCTAATATACATTATTTTCTTAACTCACTCTGGCCATGATTTTATTTTTTTAGCTATAGCTTTTGGTTAATTTATTGTGCAAATTTTCTTCATGAAATTACTATTCAGATTCATGATTACTTTTTACTTCAAACTTTTTAAGTTGTTTGTAGTTTTTTGTGTTATTCTTCTATTTTATAAAAGACACTTTTTTTTCCATTAGATCTTGTTCCATGTTTTTTCATCACTATTTATTAGCAGTTCCATGAAATACATCATTTTTCTGTTAATGTTTTCTACAAATACAAGGCTTTCTCTCCCTCGAATTTTCACCATTTTGAATGTTAAATGAGTTTGAGACATCTTATAAGGCAACTTTGATTAGTAAGATCAGCTTAGCAGGTTCAGCTATTTCTAGCCCAGTTAGGTAAAATAGAGTTGAGATGGTTAATTCTGGTGGGAACACTTAATAAATAAAAAGTCAAGATAAAAATAACACAAAAACTTAAAGAATATTAAACTCTTTTCTAAAGTGCCAATAAAGTCAAATTGTTTTGCAGTCTCTCTTTCCTTATCCGATGATGGTAGTAATAATGGCTTTAAATGTCCAGTCAAATTTTAACATCAGTTTCTCAGACACTGCATTCATTCTAGGAAAGGCATGCAGCCCTGGCAACATGCTTTCTGTCAACAGCACCAACTCCATCTTCTCCACCTTCCTGGTGATGGGCATCCCTGGACTGGAGGCTGTGCACATCTGGATCTCCATCCCCTTCTGTGCCATGTTCTTCATCACCTTGGTTGGCAACATGACCATCATGACAGTTATCTGGAGGGAACGGACACTCCATGTGCCTATGTACCTCTTCTTTGTATCACTGTTGTGATAATAATCTAACTGTGGTGAGATGGCATAGCAATGTGGTATTGATGTACATTTTCCTGATGCTGAGTGACACGGCACATTTTTTTCATGTATCTGTTGGCCATTCATATATCTTCCTTTGTGCCAATTCAGACCCTTTGCCCATTTTTTAATCAGGTTTTTTTTTTTTTTTTTTTACTGTTAAGGTGTATGACTTCCTTGTATATACTGAACTAATAGTTGTCAGATGCATAGTTTGCAAGTATTTTCTCCTACTCTTTAGGTAGTCTTTTCACTCTATTAATTTTCTTTTGCTGTGCAGAAGTTTTTTAGTTTAATATAATCACATTTGTTTATTTTTACAATTGTCGCCTGTGCTTTTGAGATCATATTCTTAAAGGCTTTGTCCGGTCTTACTTCCTGAAGTGTTTCATCTATGTTTTCTTTTAGGAATTTTATAGTTTCAGGTATTATATTTAAGTTCTTAGTCCATGTTGAGTTGATTTTGGTATATGGTGAGAGGTATGTGTCTAGTTTCATCTTTTCTCCATTTTCCCAGCACCATTTATTAAAGAGGCAGTCTTTTCCCCAGTTTATATTCTTAGTACCTTTTCTGAATATCAGTTGGCAGTAAGTATGTGGGTTGATTTCTGGGGTCTCTATACTGTTTTATATGTCTGAGTGTTTTTTTTTTTATGTTAGTATCAGGCTTTTTTGGTTACTACTGCTTTGTAGTATAAATTCAAGTCAGGTTGTGTTCTGACTCTGGCTTTATTTTTATTGTTATTTTTCTCAGGATTGCTTTGGCTATTTGGGGTCTTTTCTTGTTCCATATAAATGATAGGATTGTTTGTTCTATTTCTATGAAGAATGTAATTGGCATTTTGATGGGGATTGCATTGAATCTGTAGATCACTTTGGGTAGTATGGACATTTACAGAATGTTAATTTTTCCAATCTAAGAGCATAGAATGTCTTTCTATCTTTCTGTGTCCTCTATAATTTCTTTCAACAGTGATTTGTCATCCTCATTGTAGACATCTTTCACCTTCCTGGTTAAATTTATTCGTAGGTATTTTATTTTTTTAGTGACTGTTGTAAATGGACTAGCGTTCTTGATTTCTTTTTCTGCTAGTTTGTTGTTGGAGTTTAAAGGCACTACTGATTTTTTCATATTGATTTTGTAGCCTGCACCTTTACTGAGATTGTTTATCAACTCTATGAGTTTTTTTGTAAAGTCTTTAGTTGTTTATATATATATATAGGATCATGCCATCTCCAAACAAGTATAGTTTGACTTTGTCTTTCAGATCAGGATGACTGATTGCTCTGGGTAGTACTACCAACCATGTTAAATAGGAGTGGTGAGAGTTGGTGTCCTTGTATTTTTCCTGTTCTTAAGGGAAAAGCTGAAAGGACTCATCATTCAGGATGATATCGCTGCTGGGTTTGTCATATATGGCTTTTATTGTGTTGAGATACTTTCCTTCTATACCTAATTTTCTGAGAGTCTTTATCATGAAGGGATTTTGAATTTTGTCATGTGCTTCTTTCTGCATGTATTCAGATAATCATATGGTTTTTGTCTTTGATTTTGTTGATGTGCTATATCACATTTATTGACCAGTGCTCAAGGGAGTCCGGCATCTAGAATCACCAACATGATAAACACTATCATGAACAAACAAGAAAGAACAAAACCCACTGGTATATCAATAATGCAAATGAGAAAGAGATAGAAACTCTATAAGAAAGGAACAAAAGATACTTCAAAGATCCAAATGAACATTGATAAAATGCAAGGAGTAAGACAATACCTTTCAATAACAACCCTAAATGTAAATGTATTAAATTTCCAACACAAAAGGCACAAAATTCCTGCTTGGATTTAAAAGATAGACCCAACAATATTCTGTCAAGAAGAGACTCACCTCACCTGTAAAGACATGCATGAATGCTGAAGTGATAAAAAAAGATATACCATGCTAATGGAAATCAAAAACAAGCAGGAGTAATTATTCTATCAGGTAAAATAGACTTTAAATCAAAAACCATAAAAAGAGAAAAAGAAAGCTAATATGTAATAGTAAAGGGATCTATCCAGCAAGAAGACATAATAATCATAAATATATATTCACCCAACACCAGAGCACCCATATATTTGAAACAAACACTATTAGACTTAAATAGATAGACCCCAATGTAATAATAATTGAAGACCTGAACACCTCTCTCTGAACATTAGATTATTTAGGCAACAATTCAACAGAGACACAGGATTTAAACCACACGTTAGAACAATTGGACTTGGAAGATATCTATAGAACTTTTCATCCAACAACCACAGAATATACATTCTTTTCATTAGCACATGAAATATTCTCCAGGATAGAGTACATATTAAGTAACAAAGTTTTGAAAATTTTTGCAAAATTGAAATCATTCCAAGTATCTTTTCAGACAACAATGAATTAAAACTAGAATCAATAACAAGAGAAACTCTGGAAACTATACAAACACATGGAAATTAAACAACATGCTCCTAAATGACCTATGGGTCCAAAAAGAAATTAAACAGGATAGCAAAAAAATTTCTTGATACTGATTAAAATAAAGTCACATCAATCCAAAACCTGTGAGATACTGCAAAAGCGGTACTAAGAAGGAAGTTTATTACAATAAATGCTTACATCATAGAATAGAAACATTTCAAATAAGTAACCTAATGCTATACCTCAAAGAACTAGGGAAACGAGCAACCCAATCCCAACATTATTAGACTGACAGAAATCAAGATCAGAGAAGTAAATGAAATAGAGACCCAAGAAATGATATGACAGATCAATGAAACAAAAATTTTGTTTGTTGAGAAGGTAAACAAAATATACAAACCGTTAGTTGGGCTAACTATAAAAAAGATGAGAGAAGACCCGAACAACAAAATTCAGAAATGAAAAAGGATACATTACAACTGATACCACAGAAATACAAGAAAGCATTAGAGACTAATATAAACAACTATACACCAACAAATTTGAAAACCTGGAGAAAACAGAAAAATTTTTGGACACATACCAAGACTTAACCAAAAAGAAACAGAAAACCTGAATAGGCCAACAGCAAGCAACAAGATTGAAACAGTAATCAGCAGTCTTCCAACAAAGAAAAGCCCAGGATAAGATGTCTTTACTGCTGAATTCTACCAAACTTTAACGCAAAATTAATACCAATTCTCTTCAAACTATTCTAAAAAGTTGAAAAAGAGGCCATTCCCTCAAACTCAAGCTATGAGGCTAGCATCACCCTGATACCAAAACCAGACAATGATACAACAAACAAAGAAAACTACCAGCTGATATATTTGATGAACATAGACACAAAAATCCTCACTAAAATATTAGCAATCAGAATATAGCAACATATCAAAAAATTTATACACCACGATCAAGTGGGATTCATTCCAGGGACACAAGGGTGGTTCACTGACACTTTAAAGGTAAAGATGTATTTGGCTAAATTCAATACAATGATATGCTCCTATGTTTAAATATTTGTTTTATTCAAACAGTGGTCCACATTTTGTTCATATTTATATCTCATCGTAGAATATAAGCACTCAGCCCCTTTCTCTGATTTGATTTTCCTATGTGCCACACACAGATTATTTTCTTCGTTATCCTTTATTTGTATATGTCATAAGCATTCTATTAACTACTTATCAATAGTTCTCTTAGCAAGCAAATTTGAAAATCTTTTTGCCAAAAATTCCCTTTTACCACCATTCATGGGCAACAAGTGTTATTCATTCACTCTACATACTTCAGGGTAGATAGCTAAAACTCCTTAGCTAAAATGCAAGGGGGAAAAATAAAAAAAGCAAAGCACTTGCACTTCTTGGCTTACACTGCAAGGAGAATACACCCTGGAACCAGAAGGACCACTGAGTCCTGGATCAAATAACTATCTTATATGGGATTAGTAAATTGTTCTATTTTATACCAGCTTTTCCAAAGATAAGGGATTAAAATAG